GGATACACATACATTGTAGACTTGAACTGGCAAGATAAGGATGAACAAATAAAGTTTGCTGTCAGCGTTGGAAGATGATGAAATGCAATGCCTACCAGGGATGAGCACTGACAAAGATGGTATCCTGTGCATGTCATGTAGTAGACCCTGTCTGAATCTGAACAATTATATTTGCGTTTTGAAGCATCCAATCATCTCTCTCTCTCACCTTGTGATTTTTTTTTAAATCTTGTGGCTGTTTCTTAGAACGAAGGAGAAGCTTGAGAATAAGACCTCGGTTTTCAAAATGAGGACAGTCAGCATGGAAGCAAGGTTGGTGCAGTCCTTCCGGTGTTCATAGTAGGGAACTATTGAGCGTGGAAGCCACAAAGGATATATATTTGTGGCTAGAAAAAACTTTCGGAGACCAGTGGCACAATCTGGTGTACATGAATTTGAAACAAAATTATTTCACAACAGAACGGAACTAAAGGCACTTACAGAAGTACTGATTTATTAAAGTGCTCGACTAGTGATAAGCAAAATGCACTCTAGAAAAGTTGAAAAGCCAGAACTGTTTAAGTGGCCATCCGACTCCAGCTAAATAATAATCTGTACATAAATAAGTGACCAGAAAAAAAATGTTAACTCTGTAAATATTCGAGGCTACTCCCCCATGCAACACAAATTCCAATAACATGTATCTCTTGCGGAAAACTTAGACAATGGCTATAGATCAAGATCCCTTAAATTATAGGAGATAGAATTCAGTTACCTTTCAAAAGATAATTTGCCCTCTTTTGAACTATAGTAACAAATATGGTATATTTTGATAAGTGTTCATATTAAAAGTTCAAAGATTTCACAATACGTGTGTAGTTACTTTTCACTAATGCTTAAAAGGTTTTTAACAGGTTGCTGTTCTCACAGAAAATAAGTAGCTCATTTGTTAGTGTGGAAAAAAGGCAACAGATAGATGTTTGCCGAGTTAATTGATTGCCTTATTATTTACAGCCTGTTTTGTGCATAAATTTAAATGAAGTGCCAAGTTGAATTGGTTCTGTTTGCATATTTACTTGCATGACTAAATATGAGATCATTTCACATGCGTATACATTTTTGAATGGTGGGTATTTTTTTGAAAAGTTATATTTATTCTGATGTGCAGTTATCCACTTGATGTTTTCATTCTGTTATTAATATGTAGAGTCTGAGAATAAGTACTCTCAAAGCAGTAAAAACAGAATTGAAACACTGTCGTCAGTCCATTGTTGTACTGTCATGTCGGAAACCGCAGTGAGAAAAGGGTTGCTCTCTTGCGTTGTCTTTGTCTTGCCACCACCCCTTCAAAATGATAAGGGAGAGGCCAGGACTTACCCCACCTTCATGATACACAAAGATCCCCAAATATGAACAGATGGAAAGTGCACGTGGTCATAGCAAAGACTTTGTTTTATGGCAGACAATGCAGCATCGGAGTGTACCCGTGGAATCATTGTAAATTGTTAAATCTGATGAATGTGATGTAGCCCAAAAGAGATGCTTTAAGTTTGAAAGATATTAGGTTGTTGGACAGTTGTTGCACTTTAAGTTACAGGTAATTTTGTGTGAAAAATTCAGTATCACTCATAGATTCATCTTTTTGCTCTTGTCAGATTTACGGTTAATGCTATCTTTAATCTTCCCTTAATTTTTTGACATCATTTTGTGAATTTGTGATTATGGCATTATTAATAAAGTATGAACAGAAGGTGTACAAGTATACTAAAGGATGTGGTAAGGGTTTTTTCTTTTTGGCTATGTGATCATGTTTATACCCTATCAAAGTTGGGTGACACTGTCTCTTGTTATGAAGCTGAATTGGTATAGCCGAACATTACACATCCATGTATGTGCGCATATTGGTTTCTGTTGGTCTGGCTCATCGGATTCAAATTCTCG